ATTGTGCTTTTTTCTATCTCTTGAACATTAAACGTAAAAAAAATGCGCTTTTAACAAGAAGACAACGTTTATTTGCTAGATTTTTTTCCTTTTCTGTCTGTTTTATAAAATTATTCATTTTTACATACGACCGTTCGTTTTCCTTTATATCGAGTAAACATAGAATATATTTTTTGCTCATTTTTAGATCTATCATTTGTGGAACATTGATGGTCATCTAAATAATCATTTTTTCTAGTTCAGGATTCTCTCTACTATTGATACATCAGTCTCGTATGATCTCGAAGGTAGTTGTATTTTTAATCATTTTTTTTTTCTTATTTTAAAATAAATCTTCCTTAAGGGTACCCCTTCGCCCTTTTGGGGCTTTCCGTAGAAATATTGTCAAGCATAAACTAAAAGTGACAAAGCCTTCTACATTCCAGGACTAATTCAATACTCAATTAAGCATCTTTTCAATTTTATTGCAACGCACTAGCTATCAAGTGCGTTGTTAACTATTAAGGGCGATTTTTATCTTTTCAACAGTCTCTTCAAACCAGTTACACTACGATCCCTTGATAACTCGATCCAATTGACTTCAAATCTTTATCATATATATTAGACAACATTGTCAAGGTCTAGATTTCTTTTTTTGTTCTATCATTGTTTCTTTTCTAATTATAGAAAGTTTAAGATGTTTTTCAGTGATTTTACTATAAATGGGAAAGGAAAACTGATAGAACGAAAAAGAATCTGGACCAGCGCAATGTTGTCAAGTATTTATGATAAAGTTTTGAAGTCGATTGGATCAAGTTATCGAGAGGTAGTATTGTGACTAGATTGAAGGGACTGTTGAAAAAACGCACAATAAGAAAAATACATTTTGTACATTGATCGGTTTCTTCATGGCATACGCAATAACGCTTATATCTCCACAAATAATCATTGGAAAATATAGAAAGATGTCTCATTGTGAAGAGAACACTTTCTTCAATCAGACTATGTGTAGAAAGAAATTTTGAATGTACATGAAAAGAGAGAAAAGCTTATGAAACTACAAAACTCACTTTTTTCAGGTTTTAAAGGAAAAACTTAAAAAAGTCGTAATATTTTCAAGGAAGGTCGTAGAATGCTAGACGTGATTTCATTTTGTAGCCCAGACTTTCGTCTACATTAGAATATGTTCAGTTCAAAATCCAAAATTTTTTAAAATAGAGGAAAGAGTACCCTTAAGTCACATTTATTCTAACTGATAAAAATACCGATTTTTTTGAATGCAAAACGATGATGAAGAAAAAAGTTATTCTAAAACTAGGCTATTAAGAAGATCTCAATTCAATACATGATATGATTTTCTTTTGTTTCTCAATTTATTGTCAAGTTGATACTTGATTTGATCAAAAGAAGAAAAAAAAAATTATGTTCGACCAAAAAAAAACAGTAAAAAAAAAGAATGTGTTTTTGTTTGATATTTTAGAATTTTCTATTTTTTTTCTAATTAACGTAGAGTATATACGGATAATTTTGATCTCTGTGTTATGTTTATTCAAACAAAAAAAAAAAAGAAAAAAGAAAATGTTGTCCTTGACAAGTTTCGTCATAGCAGAAGAATGATATATGTTATGGTTTATTCAAATTAAAATGAGGTTTATTTTTTTCTGTTTGATGTAAACGTAATTTATATTAGCGATAAATTACAGGTGAGCAAGACAATATTTTCATCATTGTTTTACCGGGACAAAAAACAACAATAAAATGAGCAGTTGTTAAAATAATTAACCGAATTAGATGTCAGACTTTTCAGCTTTAGAACACTAGTGAATAATAGATAGAATGATTTATTGAAAATTATTTCATTCAGTAACAGTGAACATTAACTAACAAATAATTATCTTGTTTCAAAAAAGAATCGCACACCTGTTATCAAATTCGCGCATTTTTTTCTCATTTTTCCCAATATTAACGAATTTTTTCTCTTGTAAAAGAGCAAGAAACGAAAATCAACTATCATCATTAGAGTAGAAAATTGAATGCAATACATCTTCTCATAGTTCACAATGAATAAGAAAAAAATGGTTCAACACGTGCAATTAAAGAAACAAGAGTCAGTTTTTTGAATGTTTGTAGTCACTACTCATCTGTTGTTCAACAATCTCTAGATGAAAATAAAATATTTTTGAAGTCTGGCTTATACGGTGCAGAAAATACTAGAAAGTAACATACAAAAATAAAATAATATAAGTGAGCAATACGATAGTGTGTATGTATCATAAGAAGCCCTATGAAAACAAATTGAATTGTAAAAGTTGTGTATAGAAGATCGAGGAAAACTCAGTTTAGTTTAAAAAATTAAACTTCGATCCATTGGAAACAAATCATATTTTTGAAGCTGCAAAGCTGAATACGAAGCACTATACGCCATTTTTCTTCTATCAATATATTATAAAAATATAAAATTTTTTCATTAGTTTTTGGAAAACCGAGACATTTTAAAAAAAATTTTATCAGAGAATTATTTCCGTTTTTGTCACTGAGAATTTGATCATGTGACCATTCATTTTTTTTTCCTTCTACAAATGCATAATATATGTGTAAAACTGAATGACTTGTTGGTATGTACATAGAAATAACAAAACAATAAAAATGTAAATATTCAAAAAGATCAAATAGTTGTTGTCGGTTGGTATACACGATCTATTTTAAAAATAACATACACAACAGAAAACCTCTCTTCTCATCCAAATGAACAAAAAAAAAAAAATTCTGTTTTTTCTCTCCTTCATCATCATCATCATCATCATCATCATCCTCTTCTTCTTCTTCTTCTTCTTCATGCTGTTGGTCATATATACATGGTAGTGGTGTTAAAAAATTCTCAAAATATCGTCATCCTCTTAACTCTTGATTTTCTCTTCTTTCTTTAATTCTCAATTGCATAAAATTTCAAACTCTCATTATTTTCACACATTTTTTTGTTTCGAAACAAAAAAAAGTGAAGAAAATACTTCACAGACTATTTTATTCTTTTTAAAGAGAAATGAAAAAAAAAAAAAAAGAATTTTTTTATCGACAGATGGTGAGAAAAGAAACAGGTAAAGAAATCTTATTTCTTGCGTTTGATTTAATTTAATGCTGTTATATTATGAGATAATGAATAAATGAAATATAAATTAATTTAAAAATAAATTCATAATGATTAATCCGGTTTTTTTGTTTTGTTCTAAAGATGAAATCTGAAACTTATTTCAGATTTTAGATAGTTAAATAAAAATAGACTCGTTTAACTGCGTAAATGTCAACAATATATTTTGAGTAATAAATACAAAAAAAGATTAAGCAAAAAGGTGCCAATATTGAAAAATAGAGTATGCCAAATAGTAATCATTTATTCTGGAAATATTTTGCTTCTCTGTAACAGAAGTAAACAACTTAGAATATCATCATTCATTCATTCACTCATTCTCAAACAAAAATAAAAATTGATGATATATTTAGCTAGGACAAGGTAGTTTAATTATCAATTTTTATCTTTACTTGGATTGATATTTCTGATTTTCAAGATCTTACTACAAATAACTAAAACCACTAACAATGATGATTAAAATCTGATGAATCTGATAATAAAAGATAAACATAAACCAATCATCTGTTTGTTGTTAATCATTTGAGTACTTGAAATACATGTTTTCTCTAATTATTGTCAAGTTTCACTTATTGTTGTTGTTTTCTTTTCCTCTCTGCGTGTATTTTTAACGAAAAAAAAAAATGATGTCTTCTGTTTGCCCAATTTGTTTCGAATTAAAACGTAATCGAGTTTTCTTTTTTTTTCTGTTCCCAAAAAAAATAACAAAAAAAGTTAAATTTTATACAAGAAAAAAAAATTTTCCATTTTATATCTGTAGGTGACAAATTATTTCTATTTTTCTCTCAAGTAGAACTTTGTTCATGTAATGTCAAGTGGGAGAAGAAGAAATTCAATTGATTCTTATGAATTTTTTTTTTCTTGTCTTTGTTACACGAATAGGGTTGAATTTTTCTTTTTCTTTCTTTTATTTTAAGAATAAAAAAATAGGTATGAGAAAACAAAATGTGTGGATGTTTGATGTGTTAGAAAGCCAGAAGTTCACTATATTGTATTAATACTCGAAATAAAACAAAGAAAAAAAAAGATGTTATATTTTATAACCAAACATTATTAATTTAATATGTCCGTTGGTTAATTATTAATATTTGGTAAGATGAAGAGAGATATTGGGCAAATATGAGAAAAATAGAATGAAAATTATTTTATTTAAATCTTAATTTAAATATCTATGTAAGAATTAGAACATAAGATTATATACAAGATTTTCTTCTCTAATAAATTTCCGATACAAAAGAGCTCTTCATAAATAATCTAATCTATTCTTTTTATTGAATAAAAATCTGTGTCATTTTTTAAAAATAGCTAACTTCTTGTAGAAAATGATGGCTATATAGTATGATATACAGTATGATAATGATGTATCAATTATTCCGATTAAAAAACATTCAAAATTTTTGAATCGAAGTATTATGTTCAGAAAAATGTTTATATAAGTACTAGAAGTGTTTCATTAATTAATACTAATCTGATCACAACAGTTATAAAAAGAACTACAAAAAATAAAAGCATGAGTCAAACATCATTAACAAAATGTCCTTTAATACTATTTTTTATGAAAAACTGATGACAAAATCTCCCTTTCCTCGCCCTGGTGTGATGACTAACTAATGAAGTAGGATACTATTCAATTAATGAAATCAGTTACTGCTTCATGGGTGTTCTCTAAAGTATTTTTGATAACAACAAGAATATACCTCATAGACATGTTGTGGCAATAAATAAAAAGAAATGTAAAATATTATTCAGATTTATAATATAAATAATTGTAGATTTCTAATTTTATTTATTTTTTCATTGTAATCTAGATCAAATGTGTTTCAGTAAACGATAAACAAATCAAATATTATGGTGTAATTTGAAATATTTATTAACGATGAGTACATTAAAAGATAATGGTTTACTTCTTCTTCCAACCGGTGAACAACAAATTATTGTATGCGTAAAATTTAGTTGATTTTTGAAATATTTCCATGTTAACAGAAGTATTTGATTATAAAATTTAGGTTGCTTGTCGTATTCGTCCAATGACAGAAGATGAAATCATTCAAGGTGGTACAATCATCGCTCATAAAGTGGCAGACGATAATGTATGTGGAACTAATGTTATTCTTTTTTTACAAAATAGTAAAGACATCTCATTTAGATGGTTGTTTTACTTGATCCCGAAGAAGATCCAGATGATATTTTAAGAGCAAATCGCTCTCGAGAGCGTAAATATATGTTTGATATCGTGTCTGATGCAAGAGCAGATCAAGTATGATCAAGATATTTGATTTCTTTTAATTTGATTTTAAATTTATACTTTTTTTCTTGTTGTAGCAAGAAGTATATGCTGCCACTGCCAAAATCCTACTGGGAAGTGTCCTCGAAGGCTATAACGCCACCGTTTTTGCTTATGGAGCAACAGGTGCTGGTAAAACATATACCATGTTGGGTACGGAAAATAATCCCGGTGTCATGTATCGTACGTTGCATGATTTATTCGTTGAAATAAAACAATTTCAAGGAAAACGGGAATATCAAGGTAAAAGCGTTTCTGAAATTAGAGACAATTTTACTAAAAACTACATTATGTTTCTAGTATCAATGTCCTATCTGGAAATATACAATGAATTAATAAGAGATTTATTAGTACCATCAACATCCTTCTTAGAATTGAGAGAAGATGCAAAAGGAACAATACAAGTTGCTGGATTATCAGAAGTAGTTGCTAAAACACCGGAAGAGGTAATAGCCTTTCTTCGGTTATTGTTATTGTTAAATTAGTAATCGTTTTATATTAACTGTTAGGTAATGGAAATGTTACACAAAGGCAATCGTGCACGAACACAAGAACCAACAAAAGCAAATAAAACATCATCAAGATCACATGCTGTTTTACAAGTTAATATCAAACAACGAGATGTAACAAGATCTCATACTGAACAAGTTCGTTTTGGTAAACAGCGATAATACACATTCTAAATTTCTAACGCTAGGATATTAACGATGTGACTTCTTTTAAATATTTAGCAAAACTGTATATGATTGATCTTGCTGGTTCGGAGCGAGCTGCTCAAACACAAAATACTGGCCGTCGTATGATGGAAGGAGCACATATAAATCGCTCATTATTAGCACTTGGCAATTGTATAAACGCTTTAAGTAAGTTTAAAATATTCATCTTTTATAGAAATTATGATAATTCTTCAATTTAGGTGAAAAGAGTAATACAAAATATGTCAATTATCGTGATAGTAAATTAACAAGGATCCTAAAAGATTCATTAGGTGGAAATTCTCGAACAGTTATGATTGCACATGTTAGCCCAGCAAGTGTCCACTTTGAAGAATCTCGAAATACATTAAATTATGCTGATAGAGCAAAATATATAAAGACTAAAGTGAGAGTTTACTGTTAATTACATAATACATACTAACACTATTTGCTCTATTTTAGATTCGTCGTAATGTTATAGATGTATCCTATCATATTGCACAATATCAACAAATAATTCAAGATCTCCGAAATCAATTACAATTATTAAGAGAACAAAAAGATGATTTCGAAATGCGTTTATCCGTCTCGAATGAAGCAAGATTCAGTCGTCTGAGTGGTGAGTTAACTGAGTTGATATTTACGTGTAGACACAACTATGAATTACTTTACTCTATTCATCTTTTTAAGATAATACAACTGACCGTTTACGTGTAGAAGAAAGCTTAAAACTGAGAGAAAATATATTACAAGCATATAAAAAACAGATAGACGCGCGACGATCATTATTGGAAATCGAAAATGCACTAATGGACATTACCCATGAATGTTCAAGAAATGACTCAATTTTAGAACAGTAAATAGATTTTATGTTCACGGAATAGATAAATATTAGTAATTTTTGTTTTAGCTACGAATCGAATAAAGAAAATAGTCCACGAAGTAGAAAACAAACATTCGACAGTGGTTTAGAACCGGAAAATGTTCAACGAGCAAAAGCCGAAATAAAAGTACTAGAAATTGAACGATCAAAATTAGAAAAACAACGTAAAACACAGTTAAAAGAATTTGATACATCAAAATCGGATGCTAAAAAACTTTATGAAGTATGTGGTAGAAAGATTATATGAATATATCTTTTCGTCTTTTCGCAGATGTAAAATTAGTTTCTAACTGTAGAAAGTATCAAAACGTTTATCAAGTCAAGAACAACGTGAATTACTTCGATTATTGACACAAAATTTTGAATTTGAAATGAAAAATATTGAATTACAAGCTGATGTATTTGTTAGAGATTTTTCTATAAAACATAAAGATTTACAATTATTAAGAATGTCACAACATCGAAGTTTATGTGATACACTCATTTATCAACAACGACGATTAATACAAGGTAAATGCTTATGCTCTTATAGAAGACAGAAAGATCATCACAGAGTTGAACTATTGTTTCTGACACCTTGATGTATGTAAGATAACAATGTAAGTAATACAGAATCATTTTTGATATAATTTATCAATCAGTGGTATGTATTTCACCCATTTCTCGCTCGTATCTGGTTGATAAGCTCCAGATGAAATTAAAGATAATTAAGCTAGATTAAAGTTTTAAACGATGCTCAATGTGTCATACCTTGCAGAAATAGTAAATAAAAGATTTTTCGATATGCGTTTGAAGTAGACTGATATTTAAGTATGCATTTATCTAGCCATATCAATGAGATAAATAATGATTATTTAACTTTTTTTCAATAGTGTGTAACAACCGATTATATTTACATCTATATTGACAATTCTATTTAGAAAATAAGATACTTGTACCGTCTGACCTTGAAGAATTGTACCAGTTGTACTCACGTGATATCGATGAAGGACAACTGATGAAGGTAAATTTCAATAATAGTAAATAGGATAAACAAAACTTAGCTATAATCAAATTGTATAAACACTCATGTCACTATATTTCAAATTTTAGGATTTGGCAGCACATTCGCCACGTACCTTGACCAAAATTGGTCTTAATGTTTCTCAACTTCCTATATTGAGTCAAATAGCAGAAGAAGATTTAACAAGTGCTTCAACATCTGTGACAAGTTTCCATTTACCACCGAATAATCAACGATTACGTGCAACCCATGGCGTAACATCAAATTTATTAAATAATCGTACATTATCTGATCAAGAACTTTTTACTCATGTAAGCGAAAATGACATAAATAATATAAACTTGAACGATAGTGGTACGACACAAGCATTAAACGCTCTTATGATGAAACCAACGACCACTAATAATACTACGAATAATAATAATAATAACAATAACAATAACAATAATAATAATAATAATAATGCACCGTTGTCTTATGCACATTTTAATTTTGATGGAAAATTAGCAAAAGGAAATTCATTAGTCAGTATGAGTAGTGAGAGTGCCGATGTACCAATTGATTCGCAAATACAACGACGAAAATTTTCATCGCCCGATGGTGGCGCCGCTACAGGAATAAGGAGTAATGATGCATCACCATCATTGTACAATAAAAATGGGACAACAACAACAACAACTGGTGGACAAGGACAACAACAACAAGCAAAAGGAAGATTACGAAAACAGACACAAGATATTGCAGCACGAGCAGCTCAACGTCGAGCAAACTTACATCATCGAGAATTGATGGAAGACCTTGGTAAGAAAGAGTATTTGTATACATGAGATCTAAGTCATTAGCCTACTAATTCATTTAGGATATGATCCAAATATATCAAAAGAAAATACATCATCTGTATTTGGATTAGAAGTTACAGGGATGAAACCAAAGAAAACTGTGACAATTAAAGATCCAAATCCCGTTAGTGAAAAAACTTTTTTTCCAAGAACAAAAAGATACGTTACTATGTCTACTTTAAGGCAAGAAATCGACAAATTGATCGAACCCATGATCTTCGACGAACCAATTCAGATTCACCGGAATTAAAAAAGACAAATGGTATGTGTATAAAATGTGTATATTATGTCTTAATTCTTTTATCTCATTTATTTTAAGATCTATTCTTTCCATCCTCATATCAACGTTCTACGAAACCAAGCAAGAAACGCTCAACCTGTAAGCAATTAAATATAAAATCTTCTCTATTTATTCATACTGACTATTGTCTTCTATTTAGCTAATGGTTCATCCAATTCGTATAGTAATCCACGTTCATTAATTCCTATCGCTAACATCGTTGTACCACGAGAACCCTTTTAAACTTTTTCATTGTAATTGGAAAGACCTATAATGTGAATCAGATACTACTATTTATTCTATCAGATTATTTTATATGAAACAATTTGTCTATTATATTGCATCATCACAGTAACGGAAAATATTATGTTTTCTACAAGTCTTATTTTTGTTAATTTAAAAGTAGCCATAGAAAAACAACAACAAAAACAGAGATTCTCATACAGTTTGATTTCGTGTGTTTTTCTTTTTACAACGAAAAAACGACAGTGAAAACAAAACCGGCAGATTTTAGTTACATGTATATATACAAAGAAAAAATGAGAGTGTGCTTGAGAAAATTGTTTCACTTGTTTTATGCCAGTAATATGCGTTGATACAAACAAAGAAAAAATAGTTGAGTAAACAGATATGAAGAGAAAGATGCACATATGTATATTTAATTCGTGTTGAAGTTGATTTTAAAAATGAGTATTATTCATCATCAGTCCTTCTTGAACGATAAAAAGTTGTTAACATCCTCAACATGAATGTTGCCGGCACAGTTATGGTTGAACTTGTTTCTTCCAACATCAGTGAATTACGTTTTACTCTTTCATTTATAATGTCTTGTTCGTCAACAGCATGTTCGAGTAATGGTGACCATAACTTGATGTTATAATCAATTCCACTTGATGCTAATATAGGATAGTTGAGAGGATGAGGCTGAAGGCAGTTAACAACATGATCATCAGCTTTAATTATTCGAACGATACGACTAGAATTTTTATCCCAAATAAATATGTGACCACAATCTGATCCTGACATGACATGTCGATCACCCCAAAAATTACATTCTTTAATCATTGTTCGTGCATTTCGATGACCATCATAAGAATTAATTAATGTTGGGCTTGGTATATCTTTTAACATATCTTCCTCATTTTTTCGGGCAAGGTCACGTTTTTTCATTATACGATCGAATTTTTCGAGCATATTTGGACGTGAACGACGGCGTGGTTGATGTGCGGCAGAAGCAGTAGCTTCCCCACCAGTTGATTCTTGCTGACTACTCCGTTCTCGTTCATCGTCATCCTCATCTTCATCCTTAAATTTAAAAATCATTATTTCTATATTTTTTTCTTTATACCTTCAAAGTGCTTTACCTCATCCTCATCCTCATCCGAGCCATTTTCATCAGTTTCATCTTCATCAAAGTCATCTTCATGAAACACAACTGAATAACTTTCACGTGATGTTTCATCTTCATTTTCCACTGGTTCACTGCTGTTTGTGTTGAGACTTGGTGATGGCTCATCAGCAGTAACATTGAGATTGGAGAATGGACCACTGGCTATGGAATGTTCACTTGATTGTTGATGATGTGATTGTGAGGAGTTGTTAGCGGCAATTTCGGGTATTTCAGAATGATTTAGTTCAACACTTCTAGATTCCGTCGATTTTACTGTTGCCATTTGACTAGTGTTTTCAGATAAACGGTCGGATTCGTTGGTGATTGACGAAAATGTCGGATCTTCATTGGCAGTTTTGTCATTTTTGGTTGAAACTGATTGAGCATCTAGAAATTAAATAAATAATTAGTGATAACACCGTTTAACAGTCAAATCATTACCGTGTGATGAAGTTTCTACTGTGTTTTGAATCACTTCCATTTCTTCACTGTTATTGCTGTTTGTCTCTTGATTAGAAGCAGAATGATCATCTTCTTGGGTTGCTGCCGTTCGTGATACGAGCTGAGTCAATATATCCGACATTCTCTGCATAAAATAATTTTGCAAATTCCTTCTTTGTGGTTGTTGCAGATTACCCTCATCGCTATTTGCTTCTGTTGTTTGTTCGTCATGTTGCTGTGCACTGTCTGTTTCAAAAATATCGCTCTCTATTTGGGGACGTGATTCGGGACCCGTATCAGACCAATCACCCCTTAGTCTCAAACGTTTAAAATGTGAAGCGCCCCGATGTTCAGTGGATGATGTCAGCGTCGATAGCGTTTCTCTGGTGGTAGTTTGCACTTGTTTTGGCGCTGATTGTTCCGTAGAGTTTGTGTTTAGTGTAGATGAAGATCTATTATTACATTGTTGTTTCTTTTCGTGTCGGTGAATGTTCAACTGTTCCTTTTGTTTCGTTTGTGCTGTCAAATTTTTTGGATCAACCAAATACAATGCTTCACATGAATAGGATGCTAATATTTCTGTACCATAACGATTATAAACAACAGAGGTAATTCTATGAGGACTAGGTTCGGTTGGTTCATTAAGTAAAAATCGTCCTACGAGACCATTGATACTGCCCTCGTTATGTTTCCCACATGATCTTAATTGTTGTTTGGTTTCGGAATAAAAACTAGATACTGATAACTTTCGATGATCATATATACGAATCTAAACACATTAACAAAATTGAGATACAAGGGAGAACATATAGTTTTGAGGAAACCTACTGATGAATCCGAGCAAGCACAGACAATCTCATTTGAATTGAATGGATTAATATCCATTGATGTTATGGCCCATCTACTTCGAATAAGTATCTAAAATGAACAGGAAAATGCATGTACACCGAAGTATTGAAAATAAAATGTTTTCACTAACATCATCATGACAATTTGGTTTTAAACATTTTGACTTTGTTCTTAAATCAAATAATCTTACTGTACAATCCTCTGAACATGAAAAAAATAAATTTGGTGTTTGTGGTATAACTCGAATTTCATAACATGTCGTCGAACCATGACAATTAAAGCATCCTTCGCGTGTTGGCTGGGATGGATTATGATGTGGCGGTATAGAGGAACACATTGTCGTCGATGATGATGACGCATTTGTTAAATCTGTATAGAAAATTTGTCCGTCACCTGAACACGACACAACACTTAAATCATTTGTTTCTGGCAAAAATTTTGCCGAAAAGATATTTTCTCTGTGACCACTATGGATACATTTACGAATCGTATGTGAGAATGGATCGATGACAATTAATTGTTGATCATCACTGCCACTGAGTATTACTGTACCTCGATCATTCCAGCACAGAGTATTCACACATCCATGATGAACATGCAACGTTATTCTTTCACGTTTTAAACGTTTTGTAATATAGGATGAATTTTTTAATTTATGCACCAATTGACTATGTGACAATTGACCGTACTGTCGTTGAAAATGGTCAACATGTGAACGATAATACATATTAATATAAAATCAATATTATCTGCAAAATAACAGCAATAGTTGAAGGTAACAATTAGATAACAAGTCGCTCATGAGATCAAAACATAAATTAGAAATAATATGGAGTTATATAATATAATCAATTTATCGACTAGATTTATTTTGATAATCTGCATTTTTGTTCATCGAACATAGTTGGCAGAAAGATATCCTATTTTTATATGTTTGCATCAGTCTTATACTATATCCGCCAATAGAAAACCGAAGAGTAAAGCAAATAAATAAACAAAAACAATTTTAATCCCATTGGACAATAAAACAGAGAGTCACACCGAAAAAGTCACTAATAGACCGTTTTTTCTCTAGGAAAAACTCTTGATAACACGAAGCAATAACTAGAACATATAGAATACGACTGTATTAAACGATGAATAACCTGAATATTGGAAGAAGATCAGATTATTAATACAACACAATAAAAACCTAATTCTGGAATATTTTCAACCTAGCCAAAAAAACCTAGCCATACAGAAGTAATACTAATAATAGTCTCGACATTAACAATTTCCATTATTAGAATGACGAAAACGATAAGAAAAAAACGACCAGTCCTGTTCGAACTGGCTCATATTTTTAAGTATTAGAAACCGGAAATTTGAAAAATACAGACGCCTCTATACAAAGAAACGCTTTTAAAATTACCATTATTGAATAGTTATATATATATATACATTTGTTATTGCTTTCACATTTCATTGACTAAAGATATTTTGAGCAATCAGTAGGTCACCACTTTAATCGTACAAGTTTCAACAACGAAGTTTGAATAATAAATAAGTTATTTTCCTTTTTTACGTAAAATTTTATCGTAAATCATGGTTGTTTCTTATGATAGAACGATGCAGATAATAGACAACATGCATTGATCTCACAGATATTTACTTGTCACTTCTAATATTATCTTGTAAAAGTCCAGTGATGCGATCAAATGCATTGTACAATTGATTATCGGAATAAATCCTTATCATGTTATTAAATAATTCTATTACATGCTCAACCATTTGCTTTAAAATGTATCCTTTAATGAGCGAACTATATGATGTCACGTCATGTTCTTTCAGGTGATTGAATATCTTTGAACATTTAACATATCCAAGCACTTAGAATATACGTCGATTACAGCATTTTTCAGTTTTGTATTTGACTTCGAATATTGATGCTTATTTATATTTTCATGAATTTAGATAAAGTCAATTCATATGTCGTAGAGACTGGAATTAAAGCTTGACAACTGATTGTGTCGAATAAATTTAATGCCGTGTTGCACAATTATTTGTATATTTGAAGGTCTTATTGCTAACAAACGGTATATTAATTCATTTAGCGATGAAGCTAGCTGAATTTTTTGATGATATAGTATTTGCTAACAATATTCGAAACATAATATAACATTGATCTAGAAATAGACATATTTTTCATTACGTATTTGTCAGTCCAGTCATAGTTTAGTCAAGCGAGAAATATTTTCTTACCATAAAATCATTCATCACTTTCTATTTTTACATCGACACATAGTAGTTGTTTCGACGAGACACAAATGAAGTTCATGTTTTTATTTTAATTGTTTGGTATATAAAAAAATTGAGTATTTAAAATAACACAACGGTTTGTCAAACTAACTCTTCTCCTGGAGTGAAATTTCGTAACGTTTGTTGTGTATTGTATTTCTGTTACAATTTTCAAACGACTTGTCTCACATCATTCTGAAATACAACTGGTTGTTCACGATTCATCAATAACATTGATTGTATAATTGAACTGTGGCATGATTTAGTTCATACTAAATAAATAAACAAGAAAACACGTGCTTAGTAATATGATACGACTCGTCTTAACAGTCCATTTCTAAAATAGAATTAACAACTTTTCTCACTGAACTGGATGATTCTATTCTTTTTTACTCACCTGCTCAAAACGTTCATGTACATTCTTGAATAGAGGCCCTTTCCTCGAACGTCCACCTTAAACGATGAACCATCTCCAGTAACTAACTGAGCGCAGACGCTGTAACAAAGTCATGCTCTTCTACATTCTAAGTAAATGAAACATTTCATATAAAAACAGATATACAGACACACCTAAATACAGAGATGCAGGAACTCTCTGACTGTGAAGTTTTAAAACTGTGAAAATTTTGTACCTTGAGAAATATAATGATGTTTTTTATTAATATTACATTGCGCTCTGTTTTGGATTGACGCGTGTCTATTGCCACTGATTGTTAAAACAACCGGGAAATTCAGCTGAAATCTTCTTTCCCTATTTATTTACGGACTTTCAAAACGTGGTTTGCTCACCGATGGATATTAATACGAACATAGCAAAGAATCGCGTCCAACAGAGCCAGGCGTAGGTGCCAGTGATGGCGCGGATATAGTTTTGGTACGAATGGACCTCCGAAAAACTTAACAAATACGGTGCTCAAAATCAATTACATTTAGCATCATAATAGTCAACTTGCTTGGTAGCATTGGTCAAAACTGGTCCAAAAATACAGTTGAATAGCATTCAACATCTACAAAGAAAATAATTGCTAAACAACTCTCAATAAACAGTACAAAACAGGATTGTTTAGTATAAAATAATCTGTTCAACAGTATGTCAAATACAACAGATGGAGAAGAAATAAAGCTTGGGTAGTGACAAAATTTTCAGACAAAGAATCTCTGGCCACAATTCTTAATTCGCTTCAGAAGAGCATAGGTACATTTTAAGTAAGATAAGACTTACAAAATTTTACAATAAATCGGACACATGTTGGACTAGTATATACCAGTCCAAAAGATATACCAACTCGCAGCATTAACGTTTTCAGTGCGCCCCACGTGGTGTATAATTGAAGAACGAAAATTACTGAATCCGCTTATCTTCATTTACAGCTCTGAAGAAAACAATCTCTTTCGAAATTATTCCTAAAAATTAATAATTGGTATGGTACGAAATGGCTGCTGAAACAATGGACGAGAAAGCAACAATTTCAGACTTCGAGGATTTGGATACCGGTTCCATTTTTAGTGTGAGTATAAGCGGTCAAGATGAGCTAGGCGCAAAAGTTGCTGGGCGCAAATAAGCCACATTTTTCTGTCATTCATTTTAAACTCTTGTCATTATTAACCGAGAGAAAAGTTACGACCGGGAAAGGGTTTCTATAGTTATATTTTAATGTAAGCAATACGCTGTCGCTATTTCTATTAAGAAGGTCTGTAATGGTTGAAACGATCGCAGCGATAAAAAGCAAATAGATGTCGCACTTAGTTGACCAAAATGGGCTTGTTTATTTTTGTTTGTAGTTGAATCGAAAGAAAATTTTGCGCTGAGAAATTGTTTTGAGATTTTCAAGATGTTTCATATCTTTCTGGCTGGTTTTTCCACGTTAAATTCAAATACTATTGGAAAGATTTTTTGAACATTCCAGGGTGTATTTGAGTGAACGCTGAATATTCTGAAAGAACACCTCACATCAAATTTTCTTTTCATTTTAAATGCACATACCTCGTTCTTTGAATGCTTCTTGTGTGACACAACCAAAAGAAAAGGCAAAGATGATGCAGAATTCAATTTTGGCGGCGTAATATTAAGTAAAACCTCTAATCATAAAAAATTTTCAGTTTTTATTGCGTTACACTGGCACCAAAAAGTTGCTTCTATTCCGTTCAGAGTTTGCAGAGTTGTGATGTTTTTGGCAGAGTTTTCCATTAACCTCGATTCTTAACCTCTAGTATAGCTCTCTTGTTGTTATAATACATGTACATAATTCTTTATTGATCGAAAAATAAAGTTTCTGATATTTTCTAACAGACAAAGATGGTACTGGATTTCAAAACAAAAACTACCATCGAAGAAAACGATAAAAAGAGATCGCACAGCATACTGGCGTGAAAAGAAGAATTAAATACAAAGGGTGAATCAAAAGAAAAAATGGGTATTATTAGCAATTGTCATATACGTCAATTATCTTTGCTGACAAACTGCAAATAACTTGTTTCAAGTTGACGACAGTGACTAGTTGTAGAACTTCCAGTTGTAGATTATCTTGATCCTCAGAACCATCGAATTTTTCAAATGCTGTATGTCGAGAATCTCATATTAAACATTAAACGCTTTTTTGTTTCGAGAAATCAAAGCTCGTTTGAACAGATTAGAAAAAATTCATTGAGAATGGAAGAAAAAGCGAATTTACTAGGAATCGTACTCTAAATTTGTGTTCGTACTAAACACATTTTTATGCGTTTCTTTTCTTAAGAAAAAATGCGTTTCAATTCTCCTATTCAGAGACACATTCATGTTCGTTTTATTTTCTTAACAAGTATCATGTTCAACATCTTTCATAACACTGTATTTATGAATGAAAGTTTGGGCAAATATTCTTCACATTTTGTCGTCACAGAAGGACTGAAATTTTCGTTTGTGTTGGTAATCAATCGTAACTGAAGAATAATTTTGTATGGGCGATTTGTTTAGAATCAACTCTCGCTTTCGCCAAATAAATTAACTAGTGATTAAAAGACACCTGATTTTTCGGTCTACATTCAACAGCAAAAGTATGCATTTGCGGCCAAAAGACGGTAACGAAGATAATTTTTTTTAACAAAAACGGAATAACCACTTATAATAGGAAACTAGCAAATAAGATTTATTTTTCGCACACGGCTTCCCCAATCAGACTTTAGGAGGAGCCAAAAATTATATCTCCGAGCCACTTTCTACAGTAACTGTTTGGTCTGTATGGATTTGTTCGGTGTCATCTGTGGCAAATGTCTGCCTTTGTTGTTTCTTCCTCTGACGGGGTTATTTTGCTTTACCTGCTTTCTCTTCAAGTCGGTTGTGAGAAAAGTCTGCGCAAGATATATCTGGTACGAAAAAGAGTCACACTTGTTTTTCAAAAAACTAATCGTATTTAAACACGCTGTTTTCTAAAACATATCTAAACATCTATGATTCATACTTTTTACCTGCAGTTTAACGATATTTTCCTAGACACGGATACGCACCGGTTGAAAAAACATTCAAAAATTAATTGAAAAGCGTTTTAGTGAGATTAATATTGTTTGAAAAGTTAATGGATTCCGAGAGCTTCTGTCGTTTCCACGTTTTAAGATTTCCACTGGATATGAAGAATAATTCTCTGATAATTGTAACATGTTTGATCAAACATTTTATACCTCGACTAATACTTAAAAACACACAGGTCACAAACACTCTGACGTAAAAAAAGACATCTTGAACCTTTCTTATTCACTTGGCCGGAAAAGAAAATTAAAAAAATTTCAAAAGGGAGAAAGTCAGTTAGCATCCATTTCTACCCGCTGTTCTTCTGATTTAATTTTGACGAGTTTTTGTAGAGAAAACCATTTTATATAGTTTCCAGTTAATTCGAGTCTTTAGGTGATTATACAAATTTTTTAAGGAAATAGCTTTGGACAAAAACGAAAACTTTCAACCATTTGTTAGAAAATGACGTTATCGTAGTGAATTTAAGAATGCACTAAGTCTCATAACAAAGCTGGTTTTTGTTGCCATGCCATCACAATAAGCATTATCGTAACTTTTCCACTCTTAGTTCTATCCGAATGGGAAAACAAACAGCTTTGTAGAACACTACCGATCAAATCTGTTTTGAGCTACAGGACAGAACGAGTTCAGATTATGAAACTTTATATAGTTTAGACTACGTTGCAGCGTGTCCTGCTACAACTTGTATGAAAAGTGTTTTGAAACTGATCTTACAAAAACCAGAAAATAAGGCGCTGGAAGCTTCATTTTCACTTTGAAAAAGAGGAAGCTTTTTCACGTACTTCTTTGCAAATGTTTGATCAAAGTCAGTCCCTGTAGGTACTTAAAGTTTTTTGAATTAGTCACGGTCCCGATAAAAAATGATTTCTAACTATCCCAGTTTCAGTCCTAGTTTCTTTGATCGCGAGACAGTCCCATCTATATATCTAGTCTTTCTATTTTTTTCTTTTCGCCATGCTCTCTCGCTTTACATTACCTATGCCGACTTCTCCTACTGTCTTTCATTGTTCTGTATCTATTGGAAAAAGTTATTATACTGCTATGGTACAGGTCTATTCAGGTTACTTAAAAGTCGCATCTTACAATCAGAAATGGGCGGATTATGTTATTTTTTGTTCCATCACCATCCCATCTTCGTCAAAAAAACATTTTTTTCGCTCTTTGAAGAAATTTGTAGATTATCCGGAATCCGCCCGTCTCTCCTCTCCAACTCTTTACTCATTGTATGTGTTGTAAAAAATAAAAGGAGAAGGTTCTACGAAAACTTTTCGGAAACGAACATTAGTAGTAACTACAAAAACCAAATTATGTGTTAATTTAGTACAATTGTATTTGCTATGCAACCGTCATCGGTTTTCTCAAAAGTATTAAACATTGAATATAAAGTAGAAATATGCGATTTATTTCTCCTTTGTATTTTTAGTAGCTGCATTCTAGTGTTGTTAAAGAATGTCAGATTACACAAAGATAAACCCTTAAAAACAACAAATATTCCTATATCTATATCAGAAAGATAAACAATATCAAAGATGATTAATTTCAAATCATTAAAATCAAAGTTAGGTTTTGAGTTGTCAATTAAATCAATTACAGAACGACTGTGAAAAGTGTGTCACTAAACTCTTATTGCAACTCCCATCAATAGTAATATTTAGTTTTAAACACGAAGAACGGATATAAATTTTTCTAAAAATTGATGATAAGCAAGCAATGAGGTACTTGTGTAATAAATATTCACTTTTTATTAGCAGAATAATGCTAAAATGTCTTTAATCATCGTGTGTACAATAACATTTTGAAAATGAAAAATTCAACAAGTAAATTTGTTTAGCACTCACTATTAGAATAATAATTTATAAAAGCAAACAAATATATATTTTTTTTCATTGAAAAATTAGATAGGTCACAGAACATTATATTAAAAAACATCTATTTATAAAACATATATGACGATTAATGGTGAAAAAGATATGCATATTCATGATGTAAAGAGAAGGTATATTCTCTCTTTTGTTCTATTTAACTGTTCGACTTTTTTTCCTTTTTCTGTATACACATATTTGTGTAAAATAATTTTTCTATACAATTTTTTTCCTTTAAAACAATTAGTTTCAAGTGTGATTAATAGTCAAAATGGCACTTTACGCAAACGTATAGTATAAACAATTTTTTTGTTGCTAAAGTTTAACGGTTGAAAACGCGTAAGAGTAAATTTTAAAATATTTATTTCTTCTATCTGAAGATTAATGATGATAAAACGATGTTGTAGTGAATTTTCTGCCACAAACTCTTCACGATCATGATTCATCCTTAAGGTTGACCATGTTATGCTCTCTCTTTTATGTCATATGTTTAGTACTTTGCTCTTCTTCTTGTAATATAGTTATGTAATTCTTTTTCACAGTGTGTTTCTTTTTCTGTGGAGTAGATATTAATAAAAAGATATTCATTTGTGTTGTGTCGACTACTCAACGAGACAAGAGGCATAAATCCTCACAGATCTACTACGCATAAATAGAAGATTTATTCACTATGGTTCAACAGCATAGTGATATTACAAAACAACGACTTTATGACTCTCAACTTGACGTAACAAAAAATGCGATGATTGGACGAACTAATTCTTCTTCGACTGTGACACAACGATATCGAAAACACACTCAAGTTTCAAATACACAATTACCAGCTATACTGAAACGAACATCATCAAACACAACATCAGTAAAACCAACACCATCCATTAACACGGCAAGAAGGATTAAACGAGAAGATCACACAGCAGATTCTAATCTACAGTAAGATTTGTTTTCAAAAAAGTTGATCAATATATTATATTTAATTATGAGTTATTAGAAATCATCAGAATGGGGTAACAAAGTCCACAATAACTCGAACAACTATACAGCCAGTCCCTGTTCATGTTTACAGAAAACATTCTGTTCAAACGAATGCCACACCATTGATTACAACGTCTAATATAGATCAAGGAAATTCAACAAGAGATCGTATGATAAGAGCAAATTTAAATCAAAAAGCAACATTTAAATCAAAATCACCCATTAATCGTTCAGAAAGTACATTTAGTCGATCAATGATGTCCACTACTTTAGAG